TATTTCCAAGTAGCACATAAAAATTATTGAAGTACATTTTATAATAAAATACCACTTCATTCCTTCTACTTATAAATGTTTCATTCAATGTGTTACTTGTTTGCAATTAATTTTCTGTTTCTACACTGTTTTTTCTGTGTTTATGGGTTATCCACACAGGAATTTTCCATTAACCCTTAAACAGGCAACGTGTACAACAGGATACATATTCTTTAGTCTCTTGTAGGAGGCACGAGGAAGATTTTTTCATCCAATACTGTCATCATAATCATAGCTGAGGTTGTTTTGAGTATGGGGGTCACATGACTTGGTTCAAATTTTCTGTGCTTGTTTTGTCAGTTTGACCTAAAGCCAACATGTTCACCCATGGGGCTGGACATTCAGAAAATGTAGAAAGAAGGCATATATTAATCTTACTTTTTTCAGAAAAAAATAAATAAATAAAAAATTGCAATACAACTGTTAGTACTAATTGTGAACATTGTCTTGAGATGTTGAAAAAGAAAATTAAGTCATATGTTATTTGTGTTGTTTTTTTATCGCATTTTGAAATATGCGTATCTCCTGAGATACGTTGCCTGATTAGGGTATAAAAAAAGGATTATCCTCAATACTGACAATGAATGGTGTCACAAGGTAAACTATGCCTCCTGTTCTGGTTATTTCATTATTGTGCATTCTGGGGTGGTATGGGGTGGTGAGAGTGTGAGGGGTGGGGTGGGGTGTTTTGAGGGGCTTTGGCCAAGTCAAGTCAAGTCAAGTCACCTTTATTTATATAGCGCTTTTAACAATACAGATTGTGTCAAAGCAACTTTATAGCAACACTGCGCAAGATCATAACCGACACGCACATAATTACACAAGCACCTTCATCAAAGGAAACACAGCTTGTCTAATGGTTAAGGGTCTGCTAACAAAACACTTGTAGATTTAGTGCTGGTGAGGCCTTTCATCAAAGCATGTACTTCCAGGTTTCATCTAACATGGGAATGACTTCAAATGAAAAGCAAATTACACATTAATTAAAAATATAAGCACTTTATTTGCGGAATGGGCAGTGCTTGTTTTGTCAGTTTGACCTAAAGCCAACATGTACACCCATGGGGCTGGACATTCAGAAAATGTAGATGGTGTAGAAATCACAGAAAATACACAGTAATCACAGAAATCACACAAAATACAAGGGGGAGCCCCTAGATAAAAAATCTCTCAGAAGGGTGGATGACAAATCTAACAAAAGTCTTCAGGATTTCATAAAAATTATATGGTGTTACATAAATTACATTATATGATTGTTTAGGGATGGAGCTAAAGCGTGCAGGACAGTGGACCTCAAGGAGTGGAATTGCCTACCCCTGAGAATGAAGACGAGAAAGTTCAGAAATGTAAAAATACAAGAAATGTCTGAGCCTCAAATTTAGGACATGTCATACATGCAGCATATTTTGAATATTACATATTTGTTTGCATCAAACAAATCATAGAATTATTGATGACTTAGGCTGTTTTTATACCCTAAGAGGGCAACGTTTCCTGGGAGATACAACTCATAAAATCCAAAATATATCAAATATTACAAAAATTCCTTTGAATATGTTTTACTTCAGTCCATAGGATATACAAAAGTGACATGAAATGATTTTTTGCTGATCATTTTCCACTCTTGCCTGTTTTAGGGGTAAGGCAAAAAAGTAAAAAAATAAAATAATCTGTGGTCAAATCAACTTTATAATTTGCATTTGCATTGAATTTTAATGCTAGTTTCCAGCTAAAGCACCATATTAGCCTGTGGAATAATGCACTTACACAAATCACCCCTCAAATGATATAAAACACCCCTCAAGTAAAAACGCAACTATAGATTGTTTTTGTTTTGTACATGTAAATACCTCTGCTATCAGCATTAAATTCATCTATACAGTTGGAGGCATTATTGGATAAATAAGGCCTCTCACAAAACCTATCAAGAACATGCCCAAAAAAAGAATAAAGAATTAAGAATCTCCTGATTTTTTTAAAAAGTTTAATACTGAAGACTGGAGTAATGGCTGCTAAAAACTACAGGAACATTGTTTTGATTGTATTTTTGATCAAATAAATGCTGTCTTGGTGAAAAAGAAAAAAAACAAACAACAAAACAAAAACCTTACCCAAAATTTGGAACAAAAGTGTGTGTGTGTGTGTGAGTATGTGTGTAATCTGGACATGTTATTAAGAGATGTGTGCTATAAGGAGAACTGAACTGGGAGAGAATATGCATGATTATGTTATATCCATTACATATATGAAAAATTACAACCCAAACCCCAACCACCCAATCACCCTCGTACAGATGCATTCACTAACAAAACTAACAAAAGCACTAACAAAAGCCTGGATAACATACAAACATATAACGCAGAACATATGCATGTTCATAATAAATTTAGTGTGAAATCCTCAAACAACTGGAAATATAACATGGTCAAAAATTCAGCTGTAGACCCACTTCCACTCTTAAAGGAATCCAATGGAAATTGGTGAAAGGTTAAGATCTCTATTAATGCCCTCTTCTCCATTCTCTTCCAACAGCGTCAGTGTGAAGCACTTGTGTCCTGTGAAAGGAACCTGTTCTCAATGTTGTCTGCACAGTTAACCAAACACATGTCCTTCAGAGTGTCTACGAACATCTGGACGCGGTGACATGGCAAAACATTGCTCCCTCCTCCACTGCCACTGTCACTCCAAACCTTCAGCATCTGGTAGTGGGCATCTTTGCAGTTCCGGTGGTCTTGTTCTGCCCTGTCAATGTTCTGCTCAGAAACGCCAAGCCGACGTACAAGTTCTTTAAATCGTCCAATAGGCACCTCGTCCAGCACAAAATAGAAGAACTCATGAACTACAAAAGCAAACGTCAGAGAAAGAAATGGTGAGAGACAGACAATAGACGTGAATCATCTTTAAGCATCACTACTTAAGCCTCCAGGGATTTATGTGTAGAAACAAATAAACACAGACATACATTTGATCTCTCTTGGGACGCAGTCTGGGAGTTTTCCATGTTGTTCTGTCTCGCACGTCTGGTTTGTGAAAGGAACACTCTCATGTATTGTGTCTGGTTGCACTGTAATAATCAGTGTCTGTGAAGAACATTAAAAATATATATGAATTACTTAATAACATGCAGAAAACAATACAATAATCAAAACAACACCAGTCAAATAGGATATAACACATCACATGATCCTGAAGAAACACATGGCTTCCATGAAGGTACTGCAGGTGACTATGGACTAATAATTATTTAAAAATGTATTTTAAAAATGATATATCAGGGGTCTTTAACCATCAAATAAATACTGTTTTTTTTTTTTTTTTTACATTTCTATTCACAAAGGATACTAAAAAGTATCACTTTTTTTTTTTCATAAACATATTAAGGAGCACAAGTGTTTTCAATAATCAGCATTTTACATCATTTCTGAAGGATCATGTGACACTGAAGACTGGAGTTAACGGCTGCTGAAAATTCAGCTTTGCCATCACAGGAATGAATTACATTTAAAAATATATTCAAATAGAAAACAGTTAATACAGCACCAGTTTAGCATTTATTTATTAAAGACATTCGTGCTATTATGGTATTTTTGACATTGTTTTTTATTAGGGGGTCCTCAAGTTGGCCAAGAGTTCAGACAGAGAGTACATGTGATAGAAATATAAGTATTAGTATTTATCATCAAAGCTGAATCATCTTCTGTGAAAACAGAGCTACAGTCTCAGATATTCTCTTGTAAATTAAAAAGTAATGCGTTACTTTACTAGTTACTTGAAAAAAGTAATCTGATTATGTAACGCGTTACTTGTAATGCGTTACCCCCAACACTGCTAAGGCTGCTGAAAATTCAGCTTTGCCATCACAGGAATGAATTACATTTAAAAATATATTCAAATAGAAAACAGTTAATACAGCACCAGTTTAGCATTTATTTATTAAAGACATTCGTGCTATTATGGTATTTTTGACATTGTTTTTTATTAGGGGGTCCTCAAGTTGGCCAAGAGTTCAGACAGAGAGTACATGTGATAGAAATATAAGTATTAGTATTTATCATCAAAGCTGAATCATCTTCTGTGAAAACAGAGCTACAGTAATTATGTGTTTAGCATCAAATATGAATCACTCGCATTGTGAAGAAGAATGGTTGTGGTGTCCTTGCCATTGTTTGTCAAATGTCAATAAAGCATTTTACCTGATCTTCGGAAGCAGGTGATGATTTCTGCGATGACAAAGCTTGCCTCTTTTTCTTCCAAAGTCTGATGCCCTCGTATAACATGAACACTCCCAGTGCTATAACCGTGATAAACGCACAAACGGGGACCAGTATTTGTGGTAATGTTCCTGAAACATTAATGTGACGAGATACAAAGAAATTAAAATCACCCCTCAGTA